ACAATCTGAAGAAAACAAACTCAAAGATGATTTAGAGAAAACAGAAATGTTGAATTTAGAAGGGGAATGTCATGCACCGGTTGGTTTGGGCTTAGAAAACGATGGCTGTTTGATGGTCTGTCAACAAATATCAGAAATTGGTTCGTCACAAACACGGATTAGACTATTAACAGAATCCGGTAATCTAATTGAATCAAAAACAAGAGGTCAAATCTCTTCCTCTAACAACGAAGAGTCCACTGTAGCTGGCCTCCAAAAGGATAAAGATGATACTAAAGCACACGAACAAAATAACAATCGAGTAGTAGATAAGAAAGAAGCAACTCTTGAGCTTCATACGATCAGTGACTTAAATGCACGGAAATTGGAAGCAGGATTATTTTGTAACACACCAATGCCCTCTGTTAATGGTAAGGGTTCATTTCAATATAATTCGAGTGTAACTGGCTCAATACTGTCTGTCACTGCTAATAAAAAGTATGTTAAAGAAGCTTTAACTTTAACAAATATTTTATTTTTGTTTACTGTTTTTTCCAGTCAAGTATTCTATGATCTTGAACATGGTAATTTTAAGGAGTTTAGAGCTACTATGGATCACGATCATACGCAAGTTGTCCGAATGAGAAACGATCGTAATCAGGTAAGTAAACTATGAAAATAAGTAGAATGCGAAATATTTTTCTGTTTATTTAGACTCTTCTGCATGTTGGTGTCATACGTGATATTTCTTATGTATGGATACGTTTACTATTGCTGCGAAACGTAGACCCTTGTGCACAAGACAATGACGGCTACACAGCTGCTCATTATGCCGTTGAACGTGATGATGTTGAAATGCTTAAAGCTCTGACTGTCCGCTTTCACCTCACAATCAAAATATTTTCAGATATAGAAATCACTAAAATTCAAAATCGATGTTTAGAAGCATTGGGCATACAAGAATTTTCCAGTAAGTAAATTACGTTTTGCATTAAAATTAACCAACACTGATAATGGTTTTTTTTCTAGGTGAGCTAAACGTTTTTATGCTCGCATGTAAACAGCAAGCGGTAAATTGTATTAAGTATCTACACGAACTCGAAATTGATAACTTCAACACGAAGGTAAAGAGTACCGTTAAATTAATCATATGAAAAGAGTCACTTTACTGCTGCATTGTTGCAGGATAAATATGGAGACACGGCATTACATTATGTTGTTTCTCGAAATAATGCCCTTTTAACAAATTTCCTCATTCATGAATACAAAATGGATACAAACGGTGGGGATATTGATCGCCCAAGTGTATTAGATATTGCATGCTATAATCAGAATTTAACAATACAACAAAAACTATTAGACCACAATGCAAGATCTCGATGCCTAATTGAAACACAAACACAGCCAAATGAAAATATTACAGAAAAAGAAAATATTTCAGTTCCCAGTACAATAATTTCGAGATTATTGTTACAAACGGATGGCGGTCAAGAGGAAGTAACAAGTGATGTTGATGGTAATAGTACTTCGAGCGAACAAGTATCTAACTTTTTAGAAAAAGCGGGACAATTGGTGAAAGAAGAGAATATTCATGATGCTATCAAGTATTATGAAGATATTTTAAATTTGTTAATCCCAAATCCTGGTGGTATCCATAATTCAGACATAGCTAAAACATACAATAATTTAGGTACGGTCCATCATCGTAAAGGTAATTTTACGCTAGCTTTGAAGAATTATTCAAAATCTTTACAAATGAATTTGAGTCTCAACAACCAATCAGAAGCCGCCCGGTGTTACGCGAACATTGGTCTAATACATGCCATTCAAAATAATTATACAAATGCCCTGGAACATTTTCAAAATGCTTTGGATGCAACACGTTTGATTCCAGTACAAAACAAAGATGAAATTGCCAGAATAGAAAAATATATTGGAATGCTAAAAATACAGTAATGTGTTTACAATGAGTTCATACAATAAGTAAAGTTTCAGCATGTTTAAACGTTACTTATATAATCTAGATAAATGAATTATTATTTACCTGTTGGAAAAGGTATATTCTTATTTGTCGATGAACCACATAAAACAAGAAAACAGCAATATAACGTAATGAAACAAATGAACGATAACTGTAACTGTATTCAATAAAAATCCAATTTTCATATATCCAACACAGATTAACATAATGTCCAAGTGTTGTTGTTAATCAATAATTTGAATCTGAATGAGTGCCGGTCTTTAATTCGGTAAAGTCGCGTTTCGCCAATTCAACTTTCGCCAATAGACATTCGCCATACTGGCGACTGGCGAATGTCCACACGACATTCGCCAGGACCCCTACGACCTTCGCCAAAT